GAGCGCTTATGATAAGAGGGATCATGACGTTCCGTGTCGTCGTACGCCCCGCGCTTTTTGGCAATAGCCAGGGAAGCCGAAGGGCCATGAGCTGAGCTCAAGCTATGGCCCTGAGCTGTTGCGGTCGCAGACTCACCCGTGTGAGAGACCATAGAATTCGCATGAGCGTGATGGATCAACCCATACGTCACAGGGCGACAAGCCGAAGGAAGTCGAAGACGCGTCTTGAGTTTGGCAAAGTCAAATTGAATATGGATTTCCACACGTCCACCACTTTAAGGCTCAACTGGAAGTTGTACGGCGAGGAAGGTTCCCGGTGCCGCTGCACCCATCGCTCAAAGAGCTCTTCGTCATCTGCAGCAGCTTTGTCAGGGGTGAGCAAAACAGATATCGTCCGCATCGCGGGTACAAGAGCGGCTTCTGTTTAAGCACGAAGTCTAGTGCGGTGCGGATCAACCGGGATTTCTTAAGAACCAAGAAGCGAGCTCGGAGAGCCTCGCGTTTGTCACCCTCAGCTAGGGTAGTGGTCGAGGGTCTGACTGCGCAGACACCCAACGATCGAGTGATCGCATCCTTCGCTTTTGCAGCGGGATCCGCCGAGATGAAGACGTATTCTACTCGAGGGTCAACGACCGACCGAAGATGCGCGTGTATGAAAGCCGCCCTTTGGACAGCATCCAGCTACTGCTTCTGTGCCTCGTCGAAGTGATTGGTAATGACACCACTTTCCCCGAAAGCCGAGAGCCCGGGGAAGGACACGGCGCCCGCAAGGTTCGAGCAGGGCTCACGTCGCGCCGCTGGGGCACCTCGCCCTCCTCTGCTTCCCATTCTGGGAAAGGAGTATCCGACACGTGAATGGCTTTCTCCAAATCCTCGATGAGGCAACCCGTAGGTCGTGGTGGGCGTGGCTCGCGGTCGAGAGTAGACATCGCGACTGTGTCCTTGATCGTGTGACCTGTCGCTGACAATGCGTTGCGCGGTACTCGGTTACCGAGAGTTTGGGCGGTGCTACCCTCGAAGCCTCGGGCGTACTGTTTGGAGTTGCACCGCGTGCAGGAAACGAAGAAGGGCTCTGCCCTGAGGCGTTCTTGTAACCAGTGAGGCTGGGAGTCTTCACAGGGCTCGTTGTGCAGAGAATTCGTGACGAAGATTCTGCTGATATGGTGGTGTCCTAGACACGCGAGCCTCGTTCAATCGTCACTTTAATCGTAATACCGAGCTTTTCCATCTTGCATTCGCCGTTGTCGTCGTGTCGACATGATTCAGGCTTTTTAATGACTACAGCGAAAAGCATTATTTTTTTGAAACGATTCACGTGAAAAGATTTTACTGTAATGAAACCATCGCAATGAGTCGGGGTTGCCTTGCACCTTGCACATAGGAAGTTTAGCTCAGAAAACACGCAAGACGTAAATTTAAACAATCTTGAACCTTGAGCACAATGTGTTCTTTTTTTCGGGCTCGTTTCCTCAGTAGCAGCGTGATGGGCAGCTGAGATATCATGTCACATAGGTTTGTGGTGCGTGAACCATTACTGCATCAAAAGATCAAACAGCTCGGTCAGCAAGCGCTCCTACGATTTGGAATAGTTTTATTAGCGCTTTCAGACGTGCAACATCAAATCTGATTCTTTTAGATATCATTAGAACGCTCCAATCCTCACAGTCTTCCCCAGTAGGTCGCATTCCTAGGAACAATATAGAGACCGTGGCTCTCGACCACGCCAGTAAATTGTTTTCTCTTTTGGTGGGAAATGCTTATGATAACCACATTATAAAAAAATTGAGGACAACAACACTCTCGTCTTTCTCGTGGACTTGCTGCAGGCGTCGTTGGCGTTTAAAAGTTTGCGTAATGGCTAATCAACAGTGGCCTTGACCTTAGCGGGATTTGCCGCCGCGTCAAACGAAGCCGGAGTCTGCATTCAAATCCGACTCGAAAAACGACATTAATTGGCACAATTACGGCGCACAGTACCGCGAGATAGCCACTTGAGCCTGAAGATGCGGCACCAGACGCGATGCAAAATGATGTCGTCAAATTTGTCGACGCATTGGTAGAATATTCTAGATAGGCTTAGAGGTAGCACTGTCCTCCAGATTCACAACGGTCGACATTCTCTATCGGTGCTACGGCGTTGCTGATTAAATCAGACGCACCAAAAGAACTGGATGTCAAAATTAATAAGATGAAAGCTATTTGCGCGATGGGTGTAGCGACGCCGGAAAATCGTGCTACGACAGAGAAATTTGAGACAAGCGTATCGGGTTTCATCTCGATCATATATTTGAAAGACAGATCATGCACCACTGCACACAGCGACTTTATGATTTGCAATGTCGGACAGTGCTTCCGCGGCATCGAGGGCCAACAAACAGCGAGCTAATGCGTCTGCCCCTCCCAATGTACTTTGCGCGAATAGGCATTTTTATTACTTTTTTTTCGGTAATATTTAGCATGCAACCGACATTTTTTGCAATTTTAATGTAAATACAATTGGAATTATTTTTTTAGGTTGAACAACCGCTGTGAGGATGCATGAACAAAGTGATTTTGCAAAGTCATCACCATATTCTTCAAAATAATTCTACGCTCATTGGGAAGAGTGACCGTCGAGTGGATAGCGGGAGCGTAGAAGTATTTTGAAGAATATGGTGATGACTTTGCTAAATCACTTTGTTTATGCATCCTCACAGCGGTTGTTCAACGCCTAAGGAAACAGCAGCTTATCACTGTGGTCAATGCCATCTCAGCTATAAATTACGTCGGTGACGTCGTCATTGACGGATTTGATCCGCGGGTATGGCAGCCAATCCTCTTTCCGAGGCGGTCACAGTCTAAAGGACACGATCGAATGCAGCAAGGCGACCTGGTTCCGGGAAACGCATTTTTAAGTTTTGCTTTCTTCTTGAAAATTCAAGAATGCATGGACAAAGTGGTTTTGATAGGAAATTGCTCTAAGCAAAATTGTTAATATAAATAAAAATCAGTTTGGAATTTAAACAGATCGTCGCCCTGTGTCTTTGAAATAATATTGCGAGAGGTCCCGAATTCGATGCCTTGGTTTACTGACCGCCCCTGGAATTAAAAGCCATAAATGTGAAAATCTCTATGAATGCGGCGACGCGGTACGCCAAGCAGCAGCATATCGGTTTGACGCGGCAGCAACTGTTAACGCAAATTGAATTCGCCAGCGATCAGCACCGACCTCGGCTACCTCCCAATTTACCGCTTTGAATTTTGGTAAAAGCATCGTCGCCAAAGCGCAGTAGCAATAGATCTTAGTGTAAATACATTTAGTAAAATCTAAAGGTCAAACCTTAGCATCAATTGATAACTTTGTCTAATCGATTTGTTTGAACTACCTAAAAGCATCCTTTTGACGCGGCGACGACGTCAGATGGGTCTTTGCCTCTGATCCCACTATTATTCATACGTGCTAGACTCCTCTATAGCCAACTCGTCAACATTTGACCATCTGACAAAGTCATTAAACTCAAACGTTCGTCAATCTGTCAGCAGCAAAGAGATTGCTGCTTCTGTACCTCTTCGAGGCGATTGGTCATGAATACTGCATTACGGAACATTGAGAGCCTTAGACTGCGGCAAATTAAAGACTTGTTGCGTCTCGATCAATAGGGTCTAATTAAAGTCTGGTCCAGGCAAGGGGAAAGTGCGTGACGGAAATTCATCATTTGGAAACTCGATAAAGAGATTGTCACATCTTTATCACCCCATGACAATTTGAAGCGAAAACGTTCCTGGGCGCCGTCGCGAATGGATAGGGCTTCCGACGACTGAATGCCACGGACGACGGTCATTTCCGACGATCTCAACTGCTTTTTGTGTTTGCTTTTGTTGACATCATGGACACCATCACATGAACACCGAGTTTCACTCAGAACCGGAGCCGAAAGCCTCAAATGCAGTAATGGTTCACGCTGTGCTTTATGCAAATCAAAATGCTCGTAACGTATTTTAAGCGGGACATCAAGGCTTCTACATGAAGATATGAAACGAAAGATCTTTAGAGTCGGATGGAGAAGCACGCACTGCCTTCTCGTCCCACTAAAAAATTCTATCTATTCGTGCATTTCGGTACGGGTTCTCTCAGCGCTTTTGCGTGATGATCCAGTCGATGTTGATGGGAAACGCAGTGCGCTGCGATTATTAATTCTGTTACGACGATGAAAGATTATTTAATTTGCAAAATGTTTAGCGTTTGATGGAAGAAGCTGGTGACCGTTCGACCATACGCGATACTGCGCGGCGGCTGAGAGAAAGCAATTCGTTTTGTTATGAGGTGCAGTGGTACGCCGCTCACTTCAGGAAGTACGGCGTGCGTCGTCAGATTATCCCCGTGAATTTTGAATGTAAACAAATTGCAGGATGGAGACTGTTGACCTTAGCGGGATCCGCTGGAAGGCGCCGCCGCGTCAAACAAAGCCGGAAAATCGATGGTAAAGAAAATTTCTAGACGTTGTCTTCAAAGACCCGAAAAAAAGAGAAAGCATGGACTGAACAGACTTAGTAGGCGTTTTTTCCCAATTCTGATTGCACCAATCGATGTCTCTGCACAATTACATATAAATATAAAGCAGGAGTCACTTTACTTAGTGTCTGTCAGTGAAGCCAAGGCTACGACCTATTTGCTAAATCCATTTTTCTCACAGTATGTTTGCAAATCTTTGCTGCTGCTCGCCCCAAGCAAAACCGCTGCAGAGCGATTCCATCGATTCCGAAAGATTTGCTGACGAAGTCAATTGGA